AGTGGAATGCCAAACTTGAATAGTGGTAATGTGATGTCAAACCTGGGGGGTAACCCAAATTTAAGAGACATGTAATGAACAGAACACCCCGCGTATCAATGATGGTGGAAACACTCAGGCTAACGATAATAATAGTCTGAATAATAGCGTTTTTTGTCTCCAACCAAGGATCAAATATTAAGCCTCAAGTAACTCAACCAACGAACCAACCTGTGGGAGTTCTATATAATCCCAATGTTATGTTGAAGAATCACGTTCGAAGATAAAAAGAAAATGAGAGTGGATGAAAATCCTTTCCCACAGCCACTTGGGGTGAACATGGTGACGACTGGTTTCAAAAACAAGTTGTCAAGGTTCAAATTGGTCGTAGATGATGGAGAAGAAGATTTTGGACATCCCAGTATTTTTGAACGTATCAAAGGGAAGCAGCCTAGAGAGGACGGAGGCGTCTTGTGTGCGAGATGCAAAGGAGAAGTGAATGTAAACATCGAGAGACCAGGAATATGGCATCATCACCATCGCTCTGATTTTGTCCCAAATATCCAGCCTGGTGGAGGGCGAGGTACATCATTCTATAGAGGNGAATGCAAACATAGAGAGACCAGGAATGTGGTAACATCACCATCGCCCTGATTTTGTCCCAAATATCCAACATGGTGGAGGGCGAGGTATATCATTCTATAGAGGACCGCCTTTTAAGAGGCAGTTCAGGCCAATAAACAATGGAAGGACGTTCAAGCCGCAGCCTCTCCAACCAAATATATGGCATTCATTCCAGTATAATGCAGTGATATGTTTCAATGAGACGACCAGAACTCAACAAAGGCGTTCTCAACGAAATTATGGACTAATGATGAGGTAATAACAAGGATTGCTACGTCCTAAGGCTCCTAAACTGCTTGATTTGGCCAACCAAAACATTCTCGAAGATAGTTAAGAAGCTGGTATTGGTGAATCAATGGAAGAGTTACCAAAAAGTTCTTCTGGGATATCCAAGTTTGAGCGAGGGGAAAGAGATGAAGAAGATCCAGAGCAACCTCTCACTATTCAGTTTTGTACGTTACATCCTGTTATCGCTAATAATTATTTATTAGCCAATGAATT